TCACTCATTGGCCCTACCGATCGCGGTGCAAGGCATGCGCGGCAGGAGGAGGCCGCGAGGAAATACGCCGCAGGACAGATCAGGAGCGCGACGCGCCGCAGGTCTGGATTGACTACTCGTTTCCAGGGATGCGTGGCACCGACGACGCGATGGCCCTGCCTGCGTGCTTGGACTTCGAGTCAACGGCGATTGAGAGCGCCAGCGTGATGGGGAAGGACGCGGTTGACTACGCCATCAAGGTCCTAGCGCAGGCCCCCCAGTCTTGGGGCCGCAAGCGCGCGGTGATGTCGTGCGACCAGAAGAACGCGATCGCGGCGCAGGGCAGAACCGTCGCCGCGGAACGCGGCGAGGAGACTGTCACGCAGGTCGGCCCGAGGCTGGGCCCCAAGGCGAAGGGGCCGATCGAGGCAGCTGGCGGCAGGGCGCAGCAGCTCATCCGCACCATGACGCACACCGTCAACGCGCACTACAAGGTCGAGCTGAAGCCCAGCGACCCAATCTGCACCTTGCTGGCCAGGCACGCCAGCTGGATTCTCACAGGGTTTACCGTGAGTGAAGACGGCTTGACGCCGCATCGACGGATCAAGAGAAGAGACTACCACGGCCACATCGGAGAGTTCGCGGAGACCGCGCTGCACATGCTGCCCGCTGGAGCGGCGTGCAAGATGGAGGCCAGGTGGGACATGGGCATCTGGCTAAGGGCCAGGCAGGGCTAACTTCAGCGACGAGCGCATGATCGGCGCGCCCAGGGGCAGTGTCTTCTCGCTCTCCATTGCGAGGAGGCCCAACGAGCAAAGATGGAACAAGCACCTCTTCGGCCAGGTCGCGCGCGCCCCCTTCGACCCGAAGGCGCCCCCCTGGCGGCGGAGCCCGTTCTGAGGCCGAGGTCCCTGACCAAGGCGGTCCTCGCCCGACTGGGAAGGTCGCCTGGCTGCCCTGCTTGCGACGAGACGGAGCAGCACCGCGCGGCCGAGCGCAGAGCTCGCATGGAGGCGCTGCTGGACGCGGAAGACATCGCGAAGGGCATGGCAGTCCAGGCTGGGTCTAGAGCCGAGCCCCCCCCCCCCCCCCCCACCAGCAAGGGCAGTGACCAGGAACAGGGGCCAGGCCGAGTCTGCGCAGCCAGCGGCCAGCAACGGCCAAGCTCCCCCCTTGACCAGCAGATACCGCGGCAGCCAGCCCGCGACGACGGAGCAGACGTGGCCATGCCCGAGGCCGACGAGGAGAACGACGAGACAATGGTTCAGGAGCCCATCAAGATCGCTGCGAGGCCGAAGAGACAAGCCTCAGGGAAGGAGGAGATCCCTGAAAGCAAGAAGGCGCCCGCGTGCGTCGCACCGCCCATGATCTGCGCAGTGGACTTGGGCGAGTACGCAGCCGAGCCCGTCAACGAGAAGGACTTGACGAGCACCAAGGGGGGCGCTGTCTGGACAGCTACTGCCAGCAGACAAGGTAAAGGAAGGGCGTGCTCGAGAGCGCGCGAAGATGACGAAGCACAGCGCGTTCAAGAGGGCCTTCGCCCACGAAGCCAGAGGAAAGCGCGCGCGAGGCAAGTGGCTCCGGGACTGGAAGACAGGGGCGGACACCGTGAGGTGCAGATTCGTGGCCATGCAGGTCGCGCACCAGGTGCGCGATGACACGTTTGCAGGCACGCCGCCCCTGAAAGTCGCGAGGCTGGCGCTGGCGATGGCGGCAAGGCTCGAGCGTTGCCACGCTGTCTACCTGATTGGCCTCTGGGACATCAGCAACGCTTTCTTCCGCGCCAGGATGGATGAGGACGTCTACGCGGTGCCGCCCGTCGGCGAAGATGACCCGAATGTGGCACGGCAGTTGCTGGGTGCTGGGGGGCGATGCGCGGTGCGAGGCGCGCGAGCAAGCTGCTCCAGCACATTGTCATGGGAGCGCTAATTGCCAAGGGCTTCATCAGGCTGCAGGTGACGGTCATGATGTTCTTCCACCCCGAGAAGGGCATCTACGCGGCGGTGCACGGCGACGCCTTCATGGCGGCGGCCACCCACGTCAACCTGCAGTGGCCCAACGAGATCTTGAAAGAGAAGTTCGAGGTGAAACGGTCTCCCTTCCCCGGGCCCTCACAGGCCAGAGGTGAAGTTGCGTCTGGCAGGTTCTTGAAGCGGGCGGCGAGCTGGACGGGAGAAGGCTTCAAGCACCAAGCACGCAGGGACTATGGCGCAAGCGTGTCGGAAGCTGGCGGCGACGAGAGAGATCTCGCCAGCATCAAAGAACATCGGGAAGGACGCGCCGACGGCGCTGGACACCCTGAGCTACAACGCGAAGAAGGCGTTCCAGTATGCAGCGCCGACGGCGCTCTACTTGGCCGCAGACAGGCCAGACATCCAGTTCTCGACGAGCTGGATCATGCGAGGCATGCAGGAGCCGATGGGGATCCACGAGCTGGAGCTCAAGCGGCTGACCACGTACCTGGCGACGTACCCACAGATAACTTGGCACTTCGAGTATCAGGAGATGCCGACGGAGATCACGATCGTGACCGACTCCGACTGGGCTGGAGATGAAGTGGCGAGGCGAAGCCGCGGAGGCGGTTTCGAGTGCGTGGGAAACGCGTGCATCGACAGCTGGGCTGGACAGCAGGCGTCGAGAGCACTGAGCAGCGGTGAAACCGAGCACGTGGAGATGACTAACTGAGCGGCCCGAGGTATCTTCACGAAGAACCTTCTCGCGGAGATGCAGACCGAGATGACGGTGACGGTGGCTGGCGACGGCACGGCGGCGATCGGGATTTGCTCGAGGCTCGGCGCCCGTCACATCAGACAGCTAGACGCGAGGTGCCCGCGGTTGCAGGAGAAGGCGGCGAGCAAGGAGGCGCGGACTAAGAAGGTCCCGACGAGCGAGAACGCGGCGGATCTCATGACAAATGCGCGTGATCCTACACGACACGAGTTGGTGGAGAGGCCGCCTGTCATCCTGCAGTCTGCGAGGCGCTCAGCGGGGCAAGGCGGCGACCCACGACGGCCACGGCGGAGCGAGACGGAGGCGACGCAGTACGTCATCGCTTCAGCTGTGCAGCATGCAGATGATTTGTGCGCGCTTGGCCTAGAGTCAAGCGGTTAGCTTGCCACGTGCAGTGCGAAGCCGAGAGATGCGCCGCGCAGCATGGAGCCACGAGGACTCACCAATAATACCCGCTTGGCAGAGCCAGCCCGGCGGGGAGCCGTCCACAGCTTGTATATGGTGGAGAAATTGCAGCACTAAGCGCGAGGGACGCAGACGAGCGCGGCAAAGCCTGCCGCTCTCGAAGAGGAGTGCGAGACATCATCGCGCCCTCATAGCCAACAGGATCCGAACAACACTTGTGTTGATCATGGCCCCTCGCAGGCTCGAGAGCAAAAGGATGCCGCATCGAATCCTTGCAATTTTCGCTCGTTGCCGCCCGTTTGGGGCATTCGGAGGAGGGGGCGGATTTCCGATTCGCACTCGAATGAATTATGGTCGGGGGGCACATGTGGTGGCACAAACAATGCAGAACAGCAAACAGAAATTTCGGATGGATGGGGACGCTGATTGGCGATACCGATCACGGGGCAAACAACCGCGGGTGACGTTTAGACTTTCGGTGGCGATTAGATGTTCGATGATTTCTTGGAGGGCTGAGGTAAACTACTATTGGGCGGGCGTCGCGTTTGGGCACGTACTCAGGACCCTTTGGTGGCATGGACGTGCAAAAGCTGGGGCCCACCTATCTGGTGGCGGAAACAAGGGTATTCTCGCCAGTAGTGTTTTCGATGTGTGCGTGACGACCGACCCTTACGAGTTGTTGCAAAGCGCCGTCGTCCTAACTTCAGTTTCGATAGAGCGGCGACGCCTGTGTACAGCAAGGACCACCAAATCTTCTTCGACATGCGTCCGGCGGTATGGGACGAGGATATGATTTGAGGGTCGGGTTTTTCGAAGTACAAACACACTGTGGACTCTGAGGTGTTCGCTCGGTGCGTTTCCGGGGAACAGAAGCTCGAAGCCTACACCAAAGGAACCCTGCGCGACACCATCGAACACATGGCGGGAGCCCAGCTGCGTGGAGCGCGCCCCGCTTTGGATTGGGTCTCTCCGGTCGCTTGGGGGCCGCGGGGCCAGAACGGGTTGATAAGCTCGCAAATTTTGCCATGGACGCGAAAGCCGGCGGGGTGCACCTGACCCCGGGGCTATCGCCCGAAAATATGTCCGAGTTCCGCCTCCTGTGCTGGTCGGACAGAGCGTTCCGGGCTTCTTCCCAAGTGGGGTCTTTCGCATGGGCGGTCAGGCGAGCTACACCTCACCTGTGCACGGCAGTACCAGACGCGTTGTGGGCTGAGGCGCAAGAGATTCGAGCTGTCGTTCTTTCCATATTCCTCTTTGTCAAATCTGCAGGCGGGTGGGACCGCGAGTCTACAAGGGCTCTTGGGCACTCCAGTGCACGTAAGAGAACTGAATCCGTGCTGGGCATACAGGCCAGGAACATAGGATTGCCACGTGGTGGTCTTAGTCGCATCGAGCCCTTCGGCAGGTCAGTAGCAATGCAGTCTTCGTGGGCAAAGCAGTGCCGAAATAAGTAAATAAATTTCACATATATATATATACACACACATCAACGAATAAATAAACGAATCGGCGGGGCCCCCTCCCGGGGCGTCCTCCACCTCGATCACATGTGGGTTGCGCTCCAGTATCGCGCTTCCCGACCTCCTGGGGAGCCCCCAAAACGCCCAAGGACAGCCCAAGACGACCCCAATAAGCCAGCAGGACGTAAAAGAAAGGCCCAAGATGCTTCCCAAGCAGCCCTGGATAGCATTCGGGCGGCTCTCCAGGCTCCCAAGAGGCCTCCAAGAGACCTCAAGAGAGCTCCGAGAGGCCTCCCGAGAGGGCCCTGAGAACCTAACACCGTTGATGTCCATTGTTTTGTTTATGGTTTTTCGCCTTCTCACCAATCCAGGTTTCCAGCGCTCCAACACGGCCGAAGAGGTCCCCAAGACCGCCCAAGAGGCCCCCAAGACAGCCCCAAGACGGGCCAAGACTGCCCCAAGACTGCTCCGTAGCCTTTTTGGCTCAAGCACCTGCTCCCTGTGTGAGACAGAGGGATATACAGCCCGTGGGCTCTCTGCATTTTCGCCATGGGCGGGCCGTGCAAGATTCTAGGAGACGACGGTGGCATTTCAGACGCACCCGCGTGCACAGACAATTTCTTCGTTCGGCCGTACATGCTGAACGGCGCGCAGTGGCAGAGCGCGGAACAGTGCGGAACAGTTTTTCCAGGTCTTCAAGTATCAAGATCAGGAGATGGTGCAGAAATTCCAGGAGAGTGTCCCAGAAGAAGGTACAAGCTCTTGGGCATACGGCTGCTTCATGGCCCGAATGGGTCAGGAGCGCCACCCGTCGTTCCGCAATAATTGGGAGCATATTAAAGCTGAAGTCATGTACCGGGCTAAGCGGGCTCAAATTGCGCAGCATCCAGATTTGAAAGAAGAGCTCATTTCGACTGGGGGCCATGTTCTCATTCACGAGGATGGCAACGCTTTCTGGTCGGAGTGGAATGGCAAATGTATGGCGCGTATTCGCGACGAGGTCATGCCCGATGGAAGGCACCCACAGGGTGACCAGAAGCGAGATAGTGATCTTGAGGCGTTGGTCGCTGAGTACGCAAAGGTCATCGAGAACGAGGCTTTCTTTGCCGATTGCCCTGAGCTTATGCCTTATTATCTTCCATATGGCGGCACCGATAGGCAAAGTGCGCCGGTCCCATCACAGGCAGTCGCTCCGGTCGTCAAGCAGGAAGGGGGTGCAGCATCAGCTAGGTGTGACTGGTGATCGATATTATGGCCTGGTGCTATGTGGATCTATTTGGCAAGCCTGGATGTTGCGAAGACAGCGTCGTTGTTCGCTTGCCGTCCTTTCGATGCGTTTGATCTACGCTTGGCAATTAGCATTAACCCATTTGGCGACGCCTTGGAAGTCACAGTGCAGGCAATAAGCTTCCAACCTCGAACGTGGTCCAAAAAAAAACTACCCCGAAACTGCCGAAGAGGCGCCCAGGACAGCTCCAGACCACCCCAGAACAGGCCCAAGATGAGCCTAAGAGCGGGAGCAGGAGGCCTCCAGAGACCTCCGAGAGGACTCCGGGACCCCCCAGAGGCCTTCAACACACCCCAGACCCTTGAGAGGCCTCTAAAAAAGCGACGACGACGCCCCCCAAACAGCCCAATAGAGCTTCGAGAGCTGTCCCGAGAGAGCCCGAAGAGGGTCAAAACGTTGATTTCCAATGGTTCTTGTCGACGTTGTTTTGCCTTTTCATGTTTTTCCGCTTCCAACGCTTCAAGACCGAGGAACTTGAAGAAACAAATGGGATTCCAGGGACTCCTTTTTTTCTAACATCTGCTGAACGCTCCCGGTGCCGCGCTTCCCGACCTCCCCGGGAGCCCCCAAAACGCCCAAGGACAGCACAAGACGACCCCAATAAGCCAGCAGAACGTGAAAGAACGGCCCAAGACGCTCCCCAGCAACCCAGGATTTCGGGCGGCTCTCCAGGCTCCCAGGAGGCCTCCAAGAGACCTCAAGAGAGCTCCGAGAGGCCTCCCGAGAGCGCCCGGAGAACCGAATTTCGTTAATTGTCATTGTTCTTGTTCATGGTTTTTCGCCTTCTCACCATCTCGTGCTTCCAACGCTCCAACACGGCCGAAGAGGATCCCAAGACCGCCCCAAGACCGCCCAAGAGGCCCCCAAGACCGCCCCAAGACGGGCCAAGACTGCCCCAAGACTGCCGAAGAAGCGCCCAGGACAGCTCCAGACCACCCCAGAACAGGCCCAAGATGAGCCCAAGAGCGGGAGCAGGAGGCCTCCAGAGACCTCCAAGAGGACTCCGGGACCCCCCAGAGGCCTTCAACACACCCCAGACCCTTGAGAGGCCCGCAGAAAAAACCCGACGAGGCCCCCCAAACAGCCCAAGAGAGCTTCGAGAGCCGTCCCGAGAGAGCCCGAAGAGGGTCAAAACGTTGATTTCCACTGGTTTTTGTGGACGTTGTTTTGCCTTTTCATGTTTTCCAGCTTCCAACGCTCCAAGACCGAGGAACTTCAGAACAAAACAAATAATTCCAGAGACTCCCTTTTTTGAAGGTTCAACAAATACGCCCCCCCCCTTCCCCCTCCTGGGGGTCCACCAATTTCCTGGAACATCTGCGGAACGCTCCCGATACCGCGCTTCCCGACCTCCCGGGGAGCCCCCAACACGCCCCAGGACAGCCCAAGACGACCCCAATAAGCCAGCAGAACGTGAAAGAACGGCCCAAGACGCTCCCCAGCAACCCAGGATAGCTTTCGGGCGGCTCTCCAGGCTCCCAGGAGGCCTCCAAGAGACCTCAAGAGAGCTCCGAGAGGCCTCCCGAGAGCGCCTGGAGAACCGAATTTCGTTAATTGTCATTGTTCTTGTTCATGGTTTTTCGCCTTCTCACCATCTCGTGCTTCCAACGCTCCAACACGGCCGAAGAGGATCCCAAGACCGCCCCAAGACCGCCCAAGAGGCCCCCAAGACCGCCCCAAGACGGGCCAAGACTGCCCCAAGACTGCCGAAGAAGCGCCCAGGACAGCTCCAGACCACCCCAGAACAGGCCCAAGATGAGCCCAAGAGCGGGAGCAGGAGGCCTCCAGAGACCTCCGAGAGGACTCCGGGACCCCCCAGAGGCCTCCAACACACTCCAGACCCTTGAGAGGCCCGCAGAAAAAAACCCGACGAGGCCCCCAAAACATTCCAATAGAGCTTCGAGAGCCGTCCCGAGAGAGCCCGAAGAGGGTCAAATCGTTGATTTCCACTGGTTTTTGTGGACGTTGTTTTGCCTTTTCATGTTTTCCAGCTTCCAACGCTCCAAGACCGAGGAACTTGAGAACAAAAAAAAATATCCCGGCAAAGCAACCTAACAGCGATGTGTAGAAGCATATCTGAAAGCATTCCCCTTAAGATTCAGGTGAGAATCCAGCTGTAGAGTTCTGCTGTTCTTGCAATCGTAGTCGCATTCGCGATGACAGTCGCAGCGGCAACGGCAGTCGCAGTCACAGCCTCAGCCTCAGCCTGCCTCAGCCTCAGCCTCAGCCTGCCTCAGCCTCATCCTGCCTCAGCCTCAGCCTCAGCCTGCTTCAGCCTCAGCCTCAGTCTGCCTTCAGCCTCGGCCTCAGCCTCAGCCTGCCTCAGCCTCAGCCTGCATCAGCCTCAGCCTCAGCCTCAGCCTGCCTCAGCATCAGCCTGCCTCAGCCTCAGCCTCAGCCTGCCTCAGCCTCAGCCTCAGTCTGCTTCAGCCTCAGCCTCAGTCTGCCTTCAGCCTCGGCCTCAGCCTCAGCCTGCCTCAGCCTCAGCCTGCCTCGCCGCAGCATCAGCCTGCCTCAGCATTCAAAATGTGGCCCGGGAATGGAGTTCTGGGAAATCGAAGAGCACGAAGTGGCCTACAGTTGGCTCCGGGCATCCAAAATGTGCCCGGGAATGGAGTTCTGGGAAATCGAAGAGCACGAAGTGGCCTACAGTTGGCTCCGGGCATCCAAAATGTGGCCCGGGAATGGAGTTCTGGGAAGTCGAAGAGCACGAAGTGGCCTACAGTTGGGGCATCCCCGGGAATGGAGTTCTGGGATCGAAGAGCACGAAGTGGCCTACAGTTGGCTCCGGGCATCAAAATGTGGCCCGGGAATGGAGTTCTGGGAAGTCGAAGAGCACGAAGGTGTGACTGTTGCATCCGGTTATTCAGAATGTGGCCTGGGAATGGGGTTCTGAGAGGTCGACGAGCACGAAGTGTGTGACTGTTGGTGAAAAACGAGCCCGGCACAGGCCCGGCCGGCAACTCCCAACGCCTGCCCGGACCCCCCTGTGGAGTGATCTGTGAGCTCTTTTGAGTCAACTAGAAACCTATCAGTCTTCGCTGTTAGGTAATAATTCCAGAGACTCCCTTTTTTGAAGGTTCAACAAATACGCCCCCCCCCCTTCCCCCTCCTGGGGGTCCACCACTTTCCTGGAACATCTGCGGAACGCTCCCGATACCGCGCTTCCCGACCTCCCGGGGAGCCCCCAAAACGCCCAAGGACAGCCCAAGACGACCCCAATAAGCCAGCAGAACGTGAAAGAACGGCCCAAGACGCTCCCCAGCAACCCAGGATAGCTTTCGGGCGGCTCTCCAGGCTCCCTGGAGGCCTCCAAGAGACCTCAAGAGAGCTCCGAGAGGCCTCCCGAGAGTGCCCGGAGAACCTAATTTCGTTAATTGTCATTGTTCTTGTTCATGGTTTTTCGCCGTCTCACCATCTCGTGCTTCCAACGCTCCAACACGGCCGAAGAGGACCCCAAGACCGCCCAAGAGGCCCCCAAGACCGCCCCAAGACGGGCCAAGACTGCCCCAAGACTGCCGAAGAAGCGCCCAGGACAGCTCCAGACCACCCCAGAACAGGCCCAAGATGAGCCCAAGAGCGGGAGCAGGAGGCCTCCAGAGACCTCCGAGAGGACTCCGGGACCCCCCAGAGGCCTCCAACACACTCCAGACCCCTGACAGGCCCCCCAAAACGCCCCGACGAGGCCCCCAAAACATTCCAATAGAGCTTCGAGAGCCGTCCCGAGAGAGCCCGAGAAGGGTAAAATCGTTGATTTCCAATGTGCTCATGTGTATATATATATATATACATCACACTCACTTCTATACCCCTGGGTGGGTGTATGTGCCCGGCATGTGCGGGTGCTTTTGGACAAATGTCCTACTGTGCGCACGTGCCCGGGCATGTGCTGAGGTGGTCAGGCCACTGTCGCCTGAGACATCCCCACAACTCGGACCTCGGTGATGCCGTTGCCCATGATTGTCTGGCCACCTTCGCCCCAGACATCCTCGCACCTCTGGGTTCCGAGATGCCCTGCGCTGAGGTGGTCAGGCCACTGTCGCCTGAGACAATTCCGCAACTCTGGCCTCGGAGATGCCGTGAGCTCAGGTGGTCCATCCACTTTCGCCTGCGGCATCCCGCAACTCTGACCTCCGAGATGCCCTGCCATACGGTGGTCCAGCCACTTTCGGCTGAGGCATCCTTACAACTCTGGGTTCCGAGGTGCCTTGCGCTCAGGTTGTCAGGCCTTTTCCACCTGAGACATCCTCGCGTGAGCTACATTACCGGAGCGCTGACCCCATCCTTGTGTTGGATTGGTGTTATACCATGCCACATCCTTTATGTGGGTATGGTGTTTCAATTTGAGTGCCAGCCGCGTTAACTTCCTTCGTTCCCCTCGCTTCTCCCCTCATTCCTCTTTCCTGCTCATTTGTCCCTCCATCCTCCTCCGATATTTCGACTCTGCGGCATGTGCGCGCATGTGCGTTTTATGTTTTCAGAGTGTTGCCAGACTGTGCATTCGACTGTGCATCGGACTGTGCGGCATGTGTGCGCATGTGCGGCAGTGCTGCTGAGGTTTGTTATGGAGTTGCATGGGCATGTGCATTCGACTGTGCGGCATGTGCCTGCATGTGCGGCCCCTTCTGGACTTCAATTTGAATGTGAGCACTATACAAGTGAGCGCTATAGAAATGAGTCCAGTGTATATGTATGTTTCGCCTTCGCCTTCTCACGTTTTCCCTCTTCTAACGCTCCAAGACCGAGGAATTTGAAAAAAGGAAAATCCAGAGATTCCCTGTTTCGAGATCCCCTTTTGTCAAGGTTCAACAAATACGCCCCCCCGTCATGGGGGTCCACCACTTTGCCGGAACATCTGCGGAACGCTCCCAGTACCACGCTTCCCGACCTCCCAACCTCCCGGGGAGCCCCCAAAACGCCCAAGGACAGCCCAAGACGACACCAAGAAGTTTTGAGAACGTAAAAGAACAGCCCAAGACGCTCCCAAGCAACCCAAGATAGCCTTCGGTCGGCTCTTCATGCTCCCAGACAGCCTCCAAGAGACCTGAAAGACCGAGGAACTTGAAAAAAGGAAATTCCAGAGATACCTTTTCTTGTTGGGACTCCTACTCCCATAGCCTCTTCCTCGAGCCCCATCAAGACTTCGGGGTCTCATGCAAAGATGTTTCGGGAATACAGTTGAACTCTCTAACGCTGTCTTGGCACTATCTTGGATCGTCGTCGTGTCCTCTTGGCTGCCCCTGAAACCACGGTAGAAATCGAGATCCCATGATCCCATGAGTTGAACCAAATAGTTCGAAGCATTTTTTCAAGTTCAACCCATGCTTGTTTGTTCCACGAAGACCACGAGAGGCATCCCAACAGACCGTGGCCTGCATCCAGAAAACTTCTAACCCACAGCCCAGGCATAGCAACTTGAAACAATTGGGAATCCCTCAGTTCCTGTTTTTCAAGTTCGCCCCCCTTGTCTACTCTTGCACAACGGACCACAAGTAAGGTCCCCCTCAGCTCCCAGAAAAGAACCCAGGAAGTCTTTGAGGGCCCCAAATCGGTGAATACCGAACGGGAAGTAATGATTTCTGCGTTTCCGCAGTTCCCCTTCTATACGATTCCGAGGCTTGCGCAGGGCCTCCAAGAGAGCCCATCAAGCTTAGCTAGAACTTCAGCGCGCGCGAAGCGCGCGCGCGACTGTTCTAGTGTGTGTATATATATGTTTATATGTATATATATATGTGTAGATGGATTACCTATGTGCTCACCGGGTTTCTTTACCAACGCCTTTACATGTTGGTGGGCTATCTGTGATATCAAAGGGCTTCCTCACCAGAACCGTCAAACACATCTGGATTATCTGTGTTTTGACCGGGTTTCCTGACCGACGCCTTTTTTGCAATATCTGAATTCTCAGTGTTTTCACGGCTTCTCTTGCCTAGCGAAGCGACCGTGTGTGGGGGGGGGGAAGAAAGAAGGAGCAGGGGCAGGAAGGGGGGGGAGGAGGAGCGACGGCCTCCGTGACGGGAGAAAAACAAAAGGAGGGGCGCGAGTTCCCAAGAAATTATAACATAAATGGGGCAACGATTTTCACAAGGGCTCCTGACCAAAACCTTCATGCAGGTATGGGGTGACTGTGCTTTCATATGGCTTCAGTACCGAAACCTTGAAAGCTATGCAGGGCAATCGTAGATTCCCGCGGCTTCCTAACTAAAACCTTGAACGTCATATGTGTAATGTCCGTGGATTCGCCGGGTTTCTTGCCTGGCGCGGCGTCCTGGGGGGGGGGGGGGGCTGGTTTAAGGCGGCGAAGGAGCAGAGGGAGGAGCCGCGCCCGTCCCCAGAAAACTCCTCCTGCCTGGCACGCTGTCTGCGGAGGGAGGAGTCGGAAGGGGAGGAGGAGGCTCGGGCGAGGGGAGGAGTCGGAAGGGGAGGAGGAGGCTCGGGCGAGAGGAGGAGGAGTCGGAAGGGGAGGAGGAGTCGGAAGGGGAGGAGGAGGCTCGGGCGAGGAAGAGGAGTTTCTGCTACGGCTCTACGATTGATCTCGCTATAACTCCGACTGCCCTTCCTGTGCAGCTTCCGCTGCAGCTCTTATGGCAGCTCCAATGACAGCTGCTTCAACAGCTCCCAATGCAGATCATAGTGCAACAACTCCTACACCTGTTCCTTATACAGGTGTTCGCACAGCCCCTGCAACAGTTCCTGCTACGGACAGAAGTACAGGTCTCACTCCAACTCCTCTTGCAGCTCTACACTCAGCATATGCTGCACATCCTTTGTTCAAGGGCAGGAGAAACGCCCCTACCCTGGTTTACGAGGCGCTGTGCGCTGAAACTCCAGTGGGCTGACAGGGTAAACCCTGCGTGATGTGCCGCGTCATGGCGGCTCTAGGCTTTGGGGGTTCCCATGAGGTTTACAGACCACGCACCTGGAACTCAGGGTAGGGTCGTTTTGTTTCATCCCTCAATGTGTATATCCCAGCGTACCCCGTCCTGCAAGTGCATTACAGCCAGCAGCACAGTTCTCCACACTGTCCCTTGTAAAGCTCTCATTCACATCCCAACTTGAACAGATAGTACAGATCTAAACTCAAGGTCCTGATGTAGTTTCCCACGCCTCCAGGAGTATAGTTCTCACGATCGCCCCTAAGACAATGTATACTGCGTATATGACTGCAGGTTCTACTATAGTTCCTTGGCACAGCCAGGAGGACAGAGCCCATTACAGCTCACAGCCCCCCCCCTACAGCTCGTACTACTGCCCCGTTCCAACAGCTTATATAACAGGTCGTAACAGAGTTCATATGCCAGCCAGCTGCACGGTTCCCTCACATCTGCTTCGTCTACACCTCTCACTGCAGTTCCGACTGCGATTCCTACAACGGCTTTGTCTACATCAACTACAAGAGCTCCTACTACACCTGCTAGCAACACAGTTTCTAATACAAGTTCGGGTCCAGCTCCAGCTACAGATCACGGCAAACATTAAAGTGGATTTCCGAGTGCAGGTTTTATTGTTATACCCAGTACGTATCCCGATGCAGTTCGCAATGCGCCTCCATCTACAGTTCCTAATGCAGTTCTTCGTGTAGCCAGTAGTGCAGCACTCACGGCAGCTCCTGCCACAATGTATACCACATATTTACATGCACTTCCCACTGCAATTCCCTGGCACCGCACGCATCCCAGGGATTCCCAACGTGTCCCTGTCCAGCTACGCCCTGGTCCTGGAGGCCCTACGTCCCCCATCCCCTAGCCTGCCCCTGGCCCTCGCAAGGCCCCTCTCTCTTCCTGGCCCCGGAGCCCTTTCTTTTCGTGTTGGTCGTCGTTTGTATCCCCTCCCCTGGCTCTCGCCCCAGCCCCCTCGCTGCTTGATCGTACAAGAGCCAGGGCACGTGTGCCACCCGAGTTTCGGCGGCGAGCCTGGGTGGGAAGTGAGAAGGGGCGGGCCCTCTCGAAAGGCTCGGAAGTTCTCGGGCCTATGGAAGGTGTTGTAAGCTCTTCCCGAAGACATCAAATTTCCCAGAAGGCGCGAGGGCTTCCGAGAAGTCCCGCCGCTTTCTGGGAAGGCCTTCTCTTTCTCATTTCCCCCCCTATGCTTGCTGCCGTTGACGAACGAACAACACACACACACAAATACCCTCAAGAGATTCGGCGGGAGGAGGATTGGCTATGTGTATGGGTGCGGGATGTCGGTTCGAGGGGAGGCTCCCGTTCGAGCGGGACCCCCATCCGACAACAAGCACCCATAGCTTTCTCCGTCCCCCCTATGGGCATGGGTGTGTGTTGTTCGTTCGTCAGAGTGTATTGGCGCCCCCCCCCCTCCGACAGGCGAGGCGGCGAGGGCTTCTGCGCGACCCCCTCGGCGCTGCCGCCTCGGTCGGCCCCCGTTGCCGCGCACCCGCCGCCTGCGGCGCCGGCACGACGGCTGGCCGATGTGGCGCCCGCCGCCGCTGCCGCGGGGGGGCGGCGGCCGAGCCCTGCTGGGCCTCCCAGATGGGGTCGGAGTACGGCCGGTCCGAGGTACAAGATCGAGGTCGGCCCGGGGAGGGTGCCATACAGTTCTGCATGTTGGTTGGATGTTCTTGTGCATCCTGGGGGATAGTACCCTCGAAGGTTCTTCAGTCTGGCCGGCGGAGGATCTCATGTTCTTGAGGGACAGGCTTCTGTGTTTGTTGGATGTTGTTGATCGATGTCCTTGAACAGCCATAGTTTTGGAGAGGTCCGCTTGTGTTCTTTGCCGTTGGGTTCTCCACCTCGGAATGCTCTTCGTTTGGGGTATCTACATGTGGCTTTGGGCTCTCGGCGAAGAGGCCCATGCTCTTGATCCACGTCATCGTGATCTTGCCTCGACTGTGGATGGGGTTGGAGGAACGCGCGGCATCGCAGATGCATCGCCAATTCGGCTCGGTATGGAGCCTGATGTTCTCCACGCCGACGGCGCCGATGCATCGACGACGTCGCCGATGCATTGCCGACGCAGCGCCGATGCATCGCCGATCCTCCGACCCCGTCTACTCGGATCCCATCTGGGAGGCATCTAGTCCTGCACCCCGAGCTCGGCCCACGGGAGCCGAGGGCCTGTGCGGGGCCTAAGGGCCGCCTGCCAGCTCGTTCGTGCCTTCTTTCTCCGGGGTGGTCTCCCACTCCTCCCCTGAGATTTGGACGTTCCAAGTTTTTCACACCAGGACTTTTTGCCCGGTTTCGGGGGTCGGGACCATCACGGATCAATCTGACTCGGAAATACAGCAGAAAGAATAGGTCTAGGGCGTTGGTCGTGATGTTTCGCGATGTTGCGATGAGTTCACAACGGCGGATCTCAGGGCCCCCCGTCTTTTGGTCCTCGTGCCCGCTTCTGATTCTCCCTCCTCCCTGTCCTCCCCTCGACGGCTCAAAGACGGCGCCCTGACGGATGGGGCCCCGACGGACGAGAACCTCACACTCAGGGAGGAAGAAAAGGTACCGATACCGCTACCCATCGCCCTTGTTTCTTTTCTCGGCCTCCTGGGAGGCCCTCGTCGCCACCGCTGGATTCGCCTCGAAGTCCTGGTCAGAACGCACACCGGGAGAGGTCCGGGGAGTAGCGGTATCGGTGCCATTAGGTTTCCCCACACACGGCGAAGGTTCATCTTGCGGTCCATCTCCTACAGTCGGACCGAGGTATATGATCGAGGTAGGTTCGGGGAGGATACCCTGGTGTTCTCCGTGTTCGTGGGATGTTCTTGTGCATCCTGGGGAGAGTACCCTTGGATGGGCTGGGTGTTTTGGCCGACGGAGGGTCTCATGTTCTTGAGGGATGTTCTTCTGGCCCAGGTCCGATTGTACCTCTGGGTTCCCCACACACGGCGAAGGTTAATCTTGCGGTCCGTCTCCTATCCTTCGGGCCCCATCCCTCTGGGCCCCACCCTTGAGCACCGCCGCTCCTGCCCGCTCCTGCTCCTCCCCAGTGCCGCTCCTGCCCGCTCCAGCTCCCTGGTGATCCTGCAGCCTCCTGCTCCTCCCCTTCCCCTCTCTCCTTTCCTCCCTCTCCCCCCCCTCCAACCCCCCCCTCCCCTCCTCATCCGCTCCCTCTCCCTCCTCCCCTTCCCCTCCTCCTGCTCCTCCCCTCCCCTCCCCTCCCCTCCTCCACTCCGAGATTTTGTCAGCTTGCCCAGACGGTGCGCAGGGCATCGGTTTTCCGGCGGCGCCCCTCGCTGCAGCGGCCTCCGCCCCCGCCCGCTTACTCGGCCCGGGTCGCTGAGCCTCGCGGAGCGGGGAAGGCATCGCAGCGTGGACGCGGGGGCAGCGCCACTTGGCGGCGGGCACCAAGGGGGGCTAGCACGAGAGGGGCGGCCTTTTGTAAGAGTCTCTTGGGGAGCTGCGGAGAAGGCAAGATTGGGCGTCTTAGAAGCCGTGCCAGATTCTTCAGGCCTTGCCCGAAGCCTCCGGGCCCCTCATGAAGAGGGCCTCCGCCTTCCGAGAGGCACCCCGCCTTCTTAGAGTGCCACCCCTCGCGCCACCTCCTTGTGCGCGCCGCCAAGCCATAGTGCGCCGGCGCCGGTGAATGCAGTGCCCAGGCGCTGGCGCTACGCAGCAGCAGCGATGGTTATCTCTGTTCGTGCTAGAACCCTCGGTGTGATCGACCTCGCTGTGCCGCCGTTGCCGCCACCTCTTCGATGCAATCGGACTCAGTGTGCTGCCGTTGTCGCAACTGTTTGACATGCCATGGACTCTCGTCGCCACCATGAGTCTCATCGTGACCCTCTTCCGACGTACTCCTGCATGCACTGTCATTAATTGAGCATCGAAAACAGCACCATGTCCATTATGAGCATGGGTTGGACACGAGACCCGCCGCTATAGCGATACACGTAGAGATACCGAGAGATGCATTAGATAAGTAGGTGAGCGCAAGCCTTGCAGTATAATGATAGTATGTGGCGTAGCTGGATGTGATGTATCAGGAGAATGGCTATCGCATAGTACTGCTACTGTAGTCGTAGTAGAGGTAAAAGCAGTAATCGTAGTACTAGACAAGAAAAAGCAGACTGATAAGTAGATGTAGAAGTAGTAGCAGCAGCACTTAGCAGTAGCAGTATAACACGTAGACAACGTAGTAAGAGTAGTAGTACTACTAGTAGTAGTAGTAGTAGTAGTAGTAGTAGTAGAAGTAGAAGTAGTAGTAGTAGTAGTAGTAGTAGTAGTAGTAATAGTAGTAGTAGTAGTGGTAGTGGTAGTGGTAGTGGTAGTGGAAGTGGTAGTAGTAGTAGTAGTAGTAGTAGTAGGAGTAGTAGTGGTAGTAGTAGTAGTAGTAGTAGTAGTAGTAGTAGTAGTAGTAGTCCTAGTAGTCGTCGTAGTAGTAGTAGTAGTAGTAGTAGTAGTAGTAGCAGTAGTAGTAGTAGTAGTAGTAGCAGTAGTAGTAGTAGTGGTAGTGGTAGTGGTAGTGGTAGCAGCAGTAGTAGTAGGATTTGTAGTAGTAGTCTTAGTTATGGTCGCAGTCGTAGTCGTAGTAGTAGTAGTAGTAGCAGCAGCAGCCGTAGTAGTAGTAGTCGTATTTGTAGTCCTAGTAGTCGTAGTCGTAGTAGTAGTAATAGTAGTAGTAGTAGTAGTAGTAGTAGTAGTAGTAGTAGTAGTAGTAGTAGTAGTAGTAGTAGTAGTAGTAGTAGTCATGCTGAGAGTTGATAGGCAGGGTGGGCACTGTGTGCCGCTTACGCAGCCAATTCACTCGGACCTACTGCAGACGTTTGTTTCGCCAGACGCGACAGATGATGCCATGGCTCTTGAGCGCACCAGGGTACCTGCAGCTTTGTCCAAGTTGCTAATGTCGCATGGGTGTGAGCAGTCGTGGGCGGATCTGGGTGCTGCGATTCTGCAGTTGTTTCGAACAGACAACACTCCGGTTGAGCGTGAATATTTGTCGTACGTTGGTAGAAACGACGCATCTGGCCCATCCGAGGCCCGCTTCTTGTCGCTTTTGCAGGTCAGGGCCACCGCCGAACGGCTCTATGGCCGGTCAACCCCGCTTGCCCCTTGGGAACTGGAGCTAGCAACGCCTCTTCAGGCTCTGGCACCAGCAGCTAGCACCTCCGGGTCGGCTGGTGTTTTGGCTTGCAGACCCGAATGGCATGGAAGCGTGCAAGTTGGTAGCGCAAGCGGGTTTCTTGTACTCCCTGCACGGTTTGTGGTTTGGCGACCATCATAAGTCTCCGGACTGCCAGAAGAGGTATGACACTTCATCGCTGGATCCGCGACTGATGCCGCTTCTCACCAATGACCCGTTTCGTGAATATGAGCGCCATGGTTACCTGTTTGACAGTGAGGAGGCTTATTTCTCTGCTGTTAACAGTGAGTTCTTGCAGCGATTGCAGGGCGTATCGTACATCAGCTACCTTGTGGTTGCCAACCACGGCAATGGTTACGTGGCTCAGCAGATAGGACTTTCGAAGGAGCGGGTGGCACACGGGCCAAGTGGCTTTGAGGCTAAAGACTACAACCTTCCTGTGGAAATGACGTTTCCAAACGGGCATGTTGTTACGCCCGCCCCCTCCGAGGTCGCCCTGGGAAATTGGACCCTCGAACTCGACTGGATCTTGGATCACAGGAGCCAGGGGACTTTCCATGCGTCAGCTCCCCCAAGGTCAACAAGGAGGGCAGCATTGATTTTCCCCGATGTGGCTGGGGCTGACGCCCAACTCGAGTTGGCTTCGGCCCTCCTGCCAAACCAGCGGATGTCGAACGGACCTTTAGGTTGGGCACTGGATGCACGCGGCAACGTTGCTGTGATCTCTGTGAAGCACGGGGCGGTTGATTCCACGATCGCCGCCCTTTCTGCTGCAAGGTTTCAGCCTGCGGCGGTTTGGCCCAATGACGGCGTCGCGCCCGAGACAGATTTCACGGCAGCGCAGGATGAGCCGGAGGAGGAACCCATCTCACTCCAGGCACTTTCAATGGCGCCTTTGCTCAACGATTTTCGAGAAAAAATGCAGGCAGAGTACGCGGCTGTAGCGAAGACAAAGCTCCCGTGGACTCCAACAAGTCACGAAGGCGACTCTTACGGCGGCTTGGCGTATATCGATTCAGACGAAGGGTTTCCAGTGACCGCAGCCCAGATGCAGAAGCGAACGGACCTGGCTCACGTATCACAGGACATCAACAGAGCGCGGGCCGACGGAATATGCACAGCGCTTCATCACTCAAAAGCATCTGCCTCGCCAGCTTTCGCGCCGCTCCTGACCGCGGGATCAACGGGCCAAGTAGCTACATACCCCCAAGTGCGTTACCTCAGCGGAGCCCCTCCAGTCCCTCAGGCATTGGACTCCTCGCAGCAACGGGCGTTTCGGCTAACTGTTGGCTCAGATTCTGTCGTTGCCGCGCAGGCAGCCGTCGCGACTGGCAAGACGTTTCTGATTCAACACGTCGCACTTGCATTGCAGAAACAAGGACGAAGGGCATGTTATCTTGCGCCGCCCAACGCGTTGGCTAACGAATGCCAGACGGACATGGAGAAGAAGGTGCCGAGGAGCGTTTCGGTTGGTGGCGTCTATGGTGTGGCGTTTGAATATGGCGGCCTGGCCAACGGGCAGTCTGTTGCGGCGTCCATCGACTCGAGGTTAAAAAACTTCAAGGCAAGTTCGACGCATTCCTCGTCGACGAGGCCGGCCGTGGCAGCGCCGCACAACTGCTTGCAGCACTCTACCGGCAGCCGTCAGTTTCAAAGATCGTCTTGGTTGGGGATCCAGAGCAGCTGCCGCCTTACGTGAAGTCCTCGCTGTGGATGGAGACTCAGCCGTGGCAGGGCGCGCTAGGCCTGGTGACGGCTACCGGCGCTAGCACCGCCATGCTGACAACAAATTACCGGTGTCCAAGCGCACGCGTGGCCCCGATTGGGAAGCGGCAGTACGGATGCACCCTTCATTCAGGCCCGATGGTCAATCCTGGGTTTGGCTTGAAGGCGCGATTGCTGGACGAGCCTGCCAGGAGTTCAGGAACGTCATGGATAAATCGCTCGGAGGCCAAGTGGGCCGCTGAGCGGTGCAAGTTCTCACTGGGAAACGGTTTTACTCCAGCGGTCGCTTGCCTGTTTGAGGCCCAGCGTCAGCTTATCAAGCAGGAGTTGAAAAAGGCTGCAACTCCCGGTTGGATCGGTTCACTTCTTCGAAGCCTTGAGAATGTCGCCGTGCTCACAGTTGATTCAGCGCAGGGTGTGACACGTGAGGTCACGATCGCGCGTGTGACGCGCGATGCGGTGGGTGACTTTATCTCTGACTCAGCACGGGCTGGTCGCTTTGACACGTGACACGCAGCAGCTGCTGCTTTCGCGCGCAGGGCAATGGGTGACGCCAAATCCCGCTGGTAGAGGACTTCTGGAGCACTACAATCCTGAGGCCGCGAAGCAGCACCCTGTTGAGCTTGACCTTCTTTGCCTTGCTGTAAGAAAGATGCGCAGGCGCGCTTCGATCATTAGCGCTGCTGACGCCGGAGGTCTGCGCGCCGTCATTGAAGCCATCAGCTCTGGGTGCGACGCCATGAATGCACCAGCTATGCGTACGCTCGGATGGCGCGGTTGCGCATCACAGTGCGTATTTGACCGCTTGGTTGTTTCGCGCAAGCAGAACTTTACGCCAGAGCTGTGGGACATGGACGTCATTGTCTCGACAGAGGGGCGCGATCATGATGCGCGCTGGAAGTCATTACGGTCGATCTTTTCGCGCCCAGCCGTTACTGGCAGGCTAGTTCGCCAGCAGTTCCAAGAACCTCTGGAGTTCTTCGACGTGTCCACAGACGAGGCCTTCGTGCGTTACGCCGAATCGCTTCGGTACCGGGCATTCTGCGGGAGCCTCACTGACGTTTATGCGGCGCTGGAGCAGGGCGAACACTTTGGGGCACTTCTCCTGGCTGGGTTCCCGAAAACACCGCAAGGGGCTCAGAGGCGGAAGACTGATGCTTCCGTTTACACTTGTATTCATGCTTCTGTAGCTGGGGGCTGGCGCGTGCTTGCCACTCACGCATGGGCCGGGCGTTGATTTGGATCCGCGGATACCACTTTTTTATTTTACGAAGGGCCCAGGGCCGGACGGTGTCACTGAGCTGACCCCAGAGCGCAAGCATATGGTTTCCAACGCCCTCATCACGCACCGCGCTGAGCAGTTGGAAATGATTGAACGTGCCAGGCTAGATTTGGTGGCTTCTGCAGCAAGCGGGTTCAGATCTTCTCGCCAGTATACAAAGGATCAGGCGGTCGCATTCGGCCTGAAACTCACGCTTGGCCCTGAAGGGCCGGAAATGGCTAGGGTGCTTGGACGCCATGCACAAGTCTTCTCGGCTGCCGCGGCGCAAATTCAGACATGGGCAAGGAATCTCCTGGCCTGCGAACTCTCAGTCTGTCCCTGCGCGCATGAGTCTGAGGTTGCGTTGGAGGTCACAGTTCAGTGCCTTCACGCCGTGAAGAGAGCAAGGATAACAGATGCCGCGCGCGACATGCTCGGCGAGCTCTGTCAGAGGATCAACCCTGAGCGTTCTTCAAGCGGGCTCATCAAGAGATCGGACCTTATTGCTCGCGCCTGTGAGACATATCACAGAGCCGACGTTCTGTTTGCACTGAGCTGCTTGAGTCGCGACAGGGCTGTGATGGTTGAGATGGTTGACGGCGAGGAGTACATTCGCGCCGCGCACGGTCATCGCTTTGCTGTTGACTATGCAGCCTTCCTTCCGCCTTGGACGCCATCAGCGGCCGGGGAGTCTAGATTTCTGTTTCACGGCACATGGACGGACACTCTCGACAGCATCGAAGCTCAGGGGCTTCGGTCCATGGCCAAGAGCGCCATCTATCTCCAAACAGGGCCGGGCGAGCAAGTCCCAGGCAAGGGCCGCTCAAGATATTCAGCCCATGTCATTGTTGATTGCCACCTCGCTCACAGGAAAGGTGCGCGATTCTACGAACTCCCGAACCGGGCGCTAGTGATGGCGCTTCCTGAGTCACTGTATTCTGTGCCACCAGACATGATCATCGCATGTGATGTCCGGCCGGATGGGCTGCACGTTTGGCGTAAGGGACCTGGGCGCGATTTGGAGACGTTCTATACGCTTCGTGACCACGGGCGGGTCTCCGCTGCTGGCCGGGCTCCGTTTATCGGCACCTATCGTCTGCCGCAAGACGAGGACAGATGTCACCTCCCCCGTCTTGGCGTCTTGGGGCGCCCACGCCGCATCACTTTGAGGTCTACACTGGCTCAGCGCAGCATTTTGCGCCGATCGCGCAGGGCGCCGCGACCGCAATCAACGCCGCCTCCAGACGGAGCAACATGGCGGGGGCCTTGATGCCTCTCCGTGATAGTCTCACAGCTGGCCCAGAGAGGGCCCTGAATTCGGTGATCGCCCCGCTTCCTGGCCCGATGAGGGACTTTGTGGAGCGCTCGTGTGCGCGCCGTTTGATTGTGGTTCCTCTCCCGACGACCGCCCCCCAGCTGTGCGACGAATCAGTAGCCGCTGAACCGCGTCTGGTCACCAAGCGCTCTACAGCAGAGCGAAGTCTGCAGGATTTAGGCTTTGAGGAGACACCGCCAGGCGCTTCGCTGTGGATGCTTTGGCGAAAGGTTTGCTGCGACTCTGTCATGGCTGCCTTCCGCAGCGTCGAGCAAGCGCAGGCGCATTGTAGCACGTGCCCTGGTGC